GCTAAGGGAAAGGTTGGCAGTTTGAACCCACCCAGCAGCTCCACGGGAAAAAGACCTGGCAATCTGCTTCCAAGATTATAGCCAAGAAAGCCCTATGGGGAAGTTCTACTCCGTCACATGGAGTTACTAGGAGTTGGATATCGACTTGATGGCATCTAACAACAACAAAGCTTGTTAGTAAGGGTAAGAGGGACAAAGACATCCAAGAGCGGCAATTAAAATGCTGGCATCAAATGTGCAATTTATGTATAAAGGGTTGGTAGTAGGTTTGTGTTTGGTATGATTAATACTTTGTTACACTCAGAAACAAGAATATTGTGAAAAAAGGATTCTCCGTGCACTCTGCTGAAGAAACTAATTAAAAGATGCAAAACACACAGTTACTGCCTAAACAAGCCCACGATATTCTCAACTGGCTTTGAAGAATGGACTTACGATCTTAGACTCTCTACTTCCCACTTTCCAAAGGACTGATCAGTTAAAGTTATTAAAAAATAAAATGTTTTATAAGCATACATAAAAACCGTTTTCTAATTTTTTCTATCCTTTCTATACAGAAATGAATTGTATTTTACTAAACCATAACATGACTGTAATTTGCTCTTTTAAAACGATTCTTTTTTCCTAGAAAATATGAATGCCCATCATTAAGGAATAAAGCTAAAGAAATTTCACACATAAACTCATATCAAATGGAAAAAAGAGCTACCAGAATGTATTAGATTCTAAAGAAGGTTTCAGAACTATATTTGCTTTTACTGTGAATAAGTTTTTAAAATTTTTTATGCATTTAACTTATTTATAAGACATATTTGTATTCTAAATAATTCCAAAACAGACAACTTTCTGTATGGCAAGCCCCAACACTAATCCATGACTCATTATCAAAACTTTAATTGGCACAACTCTTGAAATTCTGAGACCATATGGAAAATAATGAGTCCTAATAGGTTTAAGGTGAAAAGACCGCGGGGGGAAGGGAAGCCAGCACACTGCCAATTCAGAAAGCTTAGCAACTGCAAAGCAATTTCCCCAAAGACCAAGAACAACGTGTTCTCTAGGTTTTACTGGTTTTGCAACCATGTAACTAAACGGCCCACTACTTCTCATTCTGTGTGACAAAGACTAAAATGAAAAAAACGAAAACAAACCCAAAACTGGTTTCCGTAATTAAAAATGAAACTGGCTGACGGTTAATAAAAGGCAGCAGTTTAGAGTTACCATAACAACCTGGGGCAACTGTTGCCTGCCAGGGCAATCTGCCGCATTTGTATAAATAGCAGTAGGTTCCCCCCACCCTCCCTGATTTCAGAAGGTTTGTGCTCTTGCAGCTAATGAACAATTGTGCTTTAAAACTACGTGGCTCATCAAAAAGTGTACCTCTTCGCTGCTGTCATCCTCCAGCTGGGCACCTCCATTTGGTCCACTGTTACTCTCTTTTAGATCCCAAACTAATGCGCACTCCTCTGGGGACGTGCTCTGAGTCTTCCCACGAGGTGCTGACCGCGGTCTCGAGGAAAAAGTGAAAATGTCCTTCGCAACAATCTGGGTCTCCTCAGCTTGACGGCTGTGATCATGTTCCTGGCTGACTTCTGGCCACAGATGTGAAGCGCTGAAGGAGTCATCATCCAGAAGTAAAGACCGTCGGCTGGATTCCAAGTGGGGAATGCGATCATAATTTTCAGGAAATATCCACTCATCTGACATTTGGAAAAGATGGCAAAAATTAGAGTAGCCTTTCATGAAAGTGCTCTTTAGGCAGGAGAGTATGTTAAAATCTGCTGCTGTTGAAACAGAGATTTATCAAATAACGCAAAAGCCAAGGAAGGCTTTAGGCACCATCCTGTAACTTGCTAAACATTTAACCTATAGACCATGCCTGGAGCTAAGGGCAACTCATCTGCACTTCTTTCCATCTGAGTAGAAACGCTGGCCAGGACTTTAGAAGACTGAAATAATCATCACCTGTCTTACAGCAACTTCTTTATAGCACAGCCTCCTTAATTTGACACTCTAGAGGGGGAAAATCTTCCAAATTTAAAAGGGTTTGAGTTACTAATACCTCTTTTTAACTGCACAGCGACAGAGTACTTAACAAGCTTCTTTAAACAAAGTATCCGGTCATTGTTTGGATTACAAATCATGGAGGGTAGGAAATCATAAAAAGGTTGACAGTCTTTTTCTCTCCCGTCTACCGATTGAAACAGAACACTTTACAGACTAAACTGAGTAGACTTTTCAAGTAATTGTAAATCCACAGCAATATTTGTTCATCTGATTAGTGATTCTGCATGGTGAAAAAGACGTTTATGTTTAATTTTAGGAGAGAATGTTTTGACAGGAGAAAAGTTTTGTTTTGTTTTGTTTTGTTTTTTTAAATAACATTGTTTTCTTGAAAAATACTCTACACTACTCCCAGGATAGATTTTTATAAAAAAATTAATCCTTTATACAACATTGAGATAGATTTTATAACCCTGTGATCCAGGCAAACTGGAAAGAATAAATCTTTACAATTATCATTAAAGGCATGCTTACTTTCTTCTTTAGAACGTCAGCAGGAAACAATTGATCATTTTCTTAATTTATTCTATTGCTTCTTGAAATTTACTTTTTTTTTTTTGCTGCATGATTTCAGCGGTGAAAATTTTGCAAGAATGTGCATTCTGTAGAACCATAATATGGACGTGGTAATTTTACACCTAACTCTTGTATCCTACTATATTTATGATCACAATAAGAGTTAAAAAAAAAAAAAAAAAAGACCTTTAATAAAAATAACACTGATGGCACAAATAAAATGTTTCACAATTATGTTAATCTGTTTCTTTAACCTAAAGTTATTATTATATAACATAACTTGCCTATAAAGAAAAGGCAATAAATGTACATTTCCTAGAGAAAGTCTATTAGGAACGAGGCTTTTCTGCATCTTCAGGGGAAGAGTCTGTAGGTAAATGGCCAATGGCAGGATGAATCTACTTCATCTGCCCACCTTTCAGGGATGTAAATGATCCTGAGTCAGTGTAGCTGTGGGCTGGTGACATGAACGGATTCACTGGGCTGTGGTCCAGTTTGCTAGCCTATTTTAGACCTTATCCATGGTGTGTGGCACATAGTAAGTGCTCTGTAAACACAGTAGGTGCTCTATAAATGTCGGGGAAAAAAAAACCAAACGTGTTATGTTATATACACATATTGATATGTGAAGAAAATTGGAGAAAAAGATACTAGGAATCTTCATTATGCAGTTAAACAACTTGTATGACCTATTGCCAAACATTATTAACTGTCAAAAAGTCAAAGTAAAAGAAGTGTTACACCAAACTAACTCTAATTATCTCACTACCACATGCTTTTTTGAAATTTGTAGTTTTACTTCAAGTATTTCCATATCAATTGCAATGAATAATTTGGTGTGTTTTCTTTAGGAAAATATGTAAATTACTGTGTAATCATAATATTGCAGCAAACAAGATAAATGCAAGAATGATCACCTAAACATCTAATTAGTTTTTCTACACAGTCAGATTTATGCTAGAGACACTAATTGCGCCTAACATTTTAATGAAGGTTTCAACACTGCATAAATAAGACTGACAATCTACAAACAATTTTCATTTATTTTCCTTTTTCCCTTGCTCAAAAATAATTTGCTTTTGTAAAAGTACCACACACCTGCCAGGCAAGATATGTTGATGGGCTCAACAGTGCACACTCCAACCATCTCCATTATAAAGAAGACTGGGGAAATGCAACAACAGATAATCACTGGGGAGGGTGACAATGTCATGTGAAAACTTAAAAGTTTTAAAATTTCATTCTGAACAGGACAACTGGTGTGTTACAACTAGAAAATAAAAACACTCCTTCATCCATTAAAGTTCGATATAAAATTGAGGCGAAAAGGAAATTTACAAAAAATTATTTTAGCAAATGACTGAATTCCAACTTTTCAGAATGACTGGGGTTGAAATATTTAATACATGTATATTTTACTAATTATTAACAATATGCTATAATAAAGATGCCGACCTGCTGGATCAGGAGCCTGGGGTCCCAGGGTGCTGGGCTTCACCGTCTCTTCTCTTTGCTGAGACACAGAGGTGAGGACAGGTGTTGCTTTATCTTCGCTCCTGTTATTTCCTGAAGAACTGCCTTTATTGGAATAAATATTTCCCACTATATTACTTCTTTTGATATTTATAAATGTTATTAATTTTTAAAGAATAGAGTTAATTTGATGTATCTTTCTATTTGATTATTTAAAAGAAAATTAGAGGT